CTCCTGTCCCTGGTTTCTACCAAGTATGGCTCCAGGGCATCACCAAACAGTTTTTTCCCAGTGCATGGAGTGGAGGCCAGCTTCCATTTTCAGCGGGAATCAGACTGCCAATTTCACAGCCAGAGGAGCCTCCTGGCCACCAGTGATGATGCCATGGCCCTTGATGTAAATTTGGCTGAATTCAGTGTAGCGTCCACCATGAATTCTGCCACCGCAATGATTTTATTTAGGTCTTGATGTGACCTAAAATCGGTGGTAGGAAGCCAATCTTGCAGTTGGCGCAGTCATTGCAGAGATACCCTCAAAAAACGAGACTGCTGTGGAGGCCCAGACTGCCCAGGGCATTGCCTGGTGGGTGCGCCTGAGAGTTTGCTCTGACCTCTTGTCCTCCGCCTTGAGCACATCCTCTGGCTCAGTGGGGGTGCCTGATGTTGAAAATGAGGCAACCACCAGGGCAGCCACAGCTGGAACCAGGAGAGCATTGGCCAAGGAAAGGCCCACGTTGTAAAAACGCCTGTTGTGTGAAGAAGGCCGAGGCCCTGCCCCAGGGGAGGCACACTGTTCCTTGACCAAATGCAGAAATAACAGAGGGGATGGAAGAACCTCTGTATGGCTTTGAGAAGAGAGTGTCCCCATGGCTAGTAGAAGCTGCTTGAGGTTCTGGAGCCACCTCCTCCAGGCTTAATTGGGCTGTGACCAAGGCCCTGCGTAGGAGTGGTTTGAACAGGGAAGGCTTAAAAACCGCTGCTGATGGGTGTTCATCAGACCTAAGCCCCTCTTCTTCTGATAAGTTAGGATCCCTGATCTCACTTTCCTCTTCCTCTGACATGGAAGAGTGACTGTGTTCTGAGGGATTTGTGTAATCCCTCTCCTTATACTTGCCCCAATTAGATTAGGTAGATGGACAATGGAACTGTTGTTGCCTGGAAAACTGCTATGAGATGGGGCCCCTTGGGAGAAAGCAGGGAACAGGGACTGACTTCCTCCCCAGGGACTGAGTAGCTGTTGGAATCCTTCAGCTAGGCCCTGTCTGATGGCTACAGAAACTATGTCCCTGATATCGTCCGTCCTACTGCCTATGGGAGGGTCCACTGACAGCAGGCCTGCAGCAGTGGGAGTAAAGGTCACTTCAGGCCAAGGCCTAAGGTCACCTTGTATCATCTGACCTAGGGGATGTGAGGAACCTGGACCCCAGGTAGCCTGCCTGAAGTTGGGCCCAGACCCGCTTAAGTCCTGAGGCAGAAACTCCTCTTCCACCCTTTCTGGGGAAGGTGGCGGGCAGAGCTAGATTCAGCCTCCCCCACCCTGGCCATAACCTCTGGGCAAACCTGAAATTCCCAATTGGGAGGATTGCTGCATCCGACTCCTCATCTGATCCAGGGTTTTAGCAAACTGTTTTTCTAAAGCAGCATGTCTTCATTTCTCAGCCCTGAGTTCAGATTTAGAAGTCTTCTTGGGGATTAAAGCCTTGGCCTTGATCTTTGCTGCAGCCTCTTGTTTTGCTGAATGACCTCTTTGTCTTCTTCTCTTCCTCATTGGGGCCTGAAAACCCTGTGCTTCTTCTAGGCTTTTGAGGTCCGACTGGGCCATTTCTCTCTCCATTTTCACCAACAAGGCAGACACAAAGGGTGCTGGGAGCTTCTCCTATGAGAGTGCCGCCTGTCGCGTGGGCCAGGTGAGCAAATTCAGCTGTGAGGCCCCTTTTTGGTCCTCCAACAAAATGGCGACCCACCACCCAAAATGGCCATCTGCCATGTGCACTGGCTCTAGGAAGCTTTGTTGCTTCACTCGCTCCCTAGGCTCTCTAGCAACCCCAAGCGATCAAACAAACACTTATCTTCTATCAGCTGAGAGGCAGCGAAACAAAGCTCTAAAAATCAGCTGTGGTCTTTTGTAATGCAGAGGGAACTGCGTGGGAGGCTTGCATTCCCTGGGTTCGCAGCTCCCTCGATGGCAACACTGAAGCCTTGACGCTGCAGGAGAGTGGATTCCCACTCTCCTTGTGGCACAGCTCAACTGGAGCCCCAGGAGCTGTGTCGAAGCTTTGAAACTGCTTCTCATCTGAAACTGCTTCTGTACTGTTTTGCTAATGATTTTTTGCTTTTAGCTCTTTCTCCTATCCAGAGACACTAGCTCTTTAGAGTAGAAGCTGAGTCAAAAACTGGGGAGCCAGGTAGGGGCTGGCTTTTTATAAAGTGGCAGACTCAGCTCTATGTCAGAGGGACGAGTCATATCCCATCCCTGGACTCTCCGCGTAGTGTGGATGAGAATTAGTTAGTTGTCACAAGATATCCACTTTTTCAATATTATTGTTTTCACTGTTTGTATTTGTCATTTGGAATGTTAGGGGAGGAATATACAATAAGATTATACATACAATAATACATACAATAAGGTAGGTGTGATAGCAAAAAACTTTAGAAACAATGGAACTTGATAATAATAATTAATAATGCCAGAACCCCTGATCAAGTGATAGATCTCTTAATGATAGAAAATTGGCTGGATTTATCTTTTTTCCTCTGTAATTTACATTTGTCAGTTGATCATTTGTATAGTGCAATCATAGAAATTATATACAATTTATACAAATGACATTTCTTCAAAGCTATTTGTTACTATCTGAAGTACTGTCTGAAAGCCAACAGCCTTTCCTCAGTTAAAGACATGCACTCTCACAATACAGTAAATCCACCAGTAGAGATTTCACTCAGTGTAGATGTAGTATGGCTGCATATTATCATTTATCCTTATTAATTTTACTCCATGTATGATGATGATGATGATGATGATGATGATGATGATGATTCTGTTGCTTTACATGTACACTGAGAGCTTCTGCATAGGAGACAAATTCCTTGAGAATCTAATCACCTTTGGCCAAATAAAGTATTCTGATAAATACTGCAAACATGAAACAGGCAATGTGTTCAAAAAGGGGAAGTATGAGAATGTGATTCATTACATTAGTCCCCGTTTAGTAATCAAACTTGTGAAGGGTATCTTGGTGGCTATGTCAAACCATGATTGTGGTTATGATTTTACTTCAGCTTTCCTTTGCTTTACAGACCTGCAAAGGTCATAAATGTGAGGATTGGTTGTAAAGTTACTTTTTCATCACCGTCGTTAAGTGTGAATGATCACTAAGCAAGGACTATTTGTTTTTTTCTTACATTATTTTCTCTATCCAATCACTCAGAAATTATTGCAAGCCTTAGAAAAACACATTTGAGAGTCCATCCTATGTCAGGTCCCCCAAAATTCCCTTAGTAAAAGAGGCAGAGTATTGATAACTTACCAGACTTATGGAGAAGGGTTCACCATGACTGGCATCTAAAGGTATATAGTAATGTAAGAACCCAACGGTTAACTGATCTAGCTTACTTTTTTTCTCCTCATTCTCCCAAGAAAATCCAGGACTAGAAGGCTGAGAGATCAGGATGCTTGGGTTTGAAAAGAGGTTCCTCAATAGTAATGGGTCCTTACTTATAGTAACCTCTCTATCCAGTTAATCATCAGCTGCACAATGATCCAGACTCCAAAGGAGAAAAAGTAATTCCGAGCATGTATTGATATACATACACACTTGTTGGTACCTTCTTAAATGAGAATTTTTGAAGGGAATGTCAACAGGTGCAATCAACACAGCCATACAATCTTTTAATTAACTTTTCTTTTTGGAATTTGGATCATTGTACAGCCTTTCCAACCATTTAATGAGCAGCTGAAGCCAAAACAGCCTGCACTTATGAACAGAAAAACCTTCAACTGCAGAATACATTAGTGCTGGAGCTATAGTTGTATCAGACTTTTTCTCTTGCTTGTTTCATTTCTGATCTTTAATTTCTGTCTGACTACACTTCTCTATGACTTGTACCATTTACAGATGAAGTTACTGCTTTCCTACTAAGTCCCATTGATTAATGCATCATAACAAGAGGATGAGTACGGGAATAAAAATCATTATGAATTTCTGCTTTTTGTGTTAGGATTCCTTTAGCTCAGAAGGAATAGATGATTACAGGATAGACTTTTTTTGTCTTAGAGCGATGGAAGTTATAAGGGCATGATGAACCAAACCGAGCAGGACCATGTCATACGTATAGGCATTATAGTTGGCGAATGAAGTTAGACCTCCTTTGTAAAAGTTTACACTGCAGTTTTATTTTTTTTCCTGTTTGAAAATGGTGGATAACCAAGTCATTGGTTTTTAATCAAAGGAACTTGGGAATTATATAAAAAGGGGTGAAGAAGTTATAGAATACCCACCTGTTAGCTTAATGAACAATGTGGAATACAGGCAAACAAAACAAGGATGATTTATCCAAGAAAAAAAAAAGGGATACATACCAGAACAAAATACCTTTGCTGGCTATATTGGAAACTTTCCCAAAATATCAAAACAAATTAGAAACCATTCTGATATCTGTAAACAATGTGTTGATCAGTTCTGAGAGTGCCTCATTTCCCCAGTCAGATAATCTCAGAGTACAGACTTAATTGTTTCCACTTGTACATAGCCTTTTTCACAGTGCTCATGTTTTTTATTCAATGTAATGTCAAGTTTTTACATGGTGCATAAGCAGACTCATCAAGGCTAGCTGCCAACTATCACTTCATGATCTGCCATCTCTATTATCTAAGCTGACTGGAGCTGACGGTGAAAAAAATATAAAGCATTTTTAGTTTTACAGATTTCCTTGTGGACAATACTCTCAACACTAGAAGTGAAAAAACATATTCAGAGAGTAAAAGCTAATAGTACTTTAATTATCCAGTATAATTTCTAATAATTATTCTAGTTATGTGCTTCTCAGGATCTGTATGCATAACAAAATAATAAAGTTCTACTTAATCAGTCAAATACTGCAAGAAGCTATTTCAAGAAGTATTCTTATCAAACTTTATGCATTTTGGATTGTGGAAAACAAACTAATTTAGTTAACATAAGTCAATGTAGAAAATTCAAAATTTTCAGGTGTAAGATAGTTGGTACGTACCTGTAATAGCGAGATTGCAAGTATGTTGAACAGACTGTCTTTGATACGTGACTAGCAGATCCAAAGTCAATTACCTTAACTCGGTAAGGCTGCCGTGCTGGATCCACCAACATAATATTTTCTGGTTTGAGGTCAGCATGTATTAAACCAAGACTTTTTAGTTTTTTCAGTGCAGTGGCCACCTGTTGCAGAATAGGCCGAATTACCCTTAGCTGAAGAGGACTAAATTTGTTTTGTTTCAGAAAGTCATACAAATTCTGTTCCAACATCTCAAAAACTAAGCAAGTATGATTATGATGTTGAAAGCACTCATAGGCTTTCACAAAATTAAACTCGTCAGCATTCTCTGTACTTAATCTTCCTAATATGCTCACTTCTATTTGTCCTTGACGTGCATAAGATGGGTGATTCTTCAGGATTTTGATTGCCACTATTTCATTTGTCCCTCTTTTCCAGCACTTTACGACTTGGCCAAAAGTCCCTCGCCCAAGGAAATCAAGAACCTCATAAGTACTTTTCGCAGAACATAATACCTCATGCTGCACTAACTGATAATCTCCATCACCACCGGTACCATTTGGTTTTGAAGCTGCAGTAGTTGTCATAACTGTCACTGGGTTTCCCAAGTTTGTTTGCAACATAGCAGGCAATATAGGCAGTTCATCAACAATCTGCATTGCGCCACTCTGGTTTTCTAACTCTTCACTCTTACGCTTCAATCCACATTGCTGGGGACGGTCCAAGATGTTCAACTCACTTTCCTGTGTCCCAGGCCAAGGTGCTTCCGCTTGAGGTCGCTGTGACTGCACTGCTAAGATTTTTGTAGCACCTGCAATAGTTTTTAAACCAACAGTGCTGGTCGGCAACAAAAAAGTCTCTCTTTGAGGTCTGTCAAATATATTTGTAGCTTGCAAGAAAGCACCAACCCTACTGGGAGGCTGAGTGATTCCAAAATTGTTACCATTCAAATAGAGCTGCGGGTAGGCTCTTTCATGATATACACAACTACTTGGCTCCACTTTCAGTTTCTTCACATTAGAAAAGGCACTTGGCTGAGTTTGATAAATATATGATGGATAGACCAAGACTTGTGAGGCCATACCTGAAAAAGAGAGAACATATTAAGATACTCTGTTGCTTACCCTCTCTCCATATATTTATCTCTAAGTCTCTAAAAATAGTTAATCAAAAAGCCATGCCATTTTGTACATTAAGTACTGAAGCTGCTACCTGGTTTATACATGAGTAATGGACAAATTTTCTCTGCTTTAGAGAAAATATACAGTGTACCAAAACAGATTTTGAATGTTTACCACTCAGCTAACTTTAAGTAAAAGTAACTTTCAAAAGTTACAGCACAGTGCTAATAGCAAATAGCTACTACGAAACTATAAGAGCAGAACCTATGTAAATCAATGTCACAAATGTGGAGAAGATTTATTGGCAAGTTTTTGCCAATAACTTTCATTGTGACTAATGTATATAAAAGAAACTTTGTTTTTCCAGAGTAATTCAATAATGGAAATCAATCAGCAATTAAACTACATGGCTTTATCACCACAGTAATAAATAAACTCTTTGATTCTTCCCAACTTATGATTCTATACAGATGGCCTTAAACATGCATCATCCAACCCAAACTCTTGAATTGGCCTCCTAAATCAAGAGACTCCTCTTTGGCCTTCAAAATTCTTTTTCCACTAGTTTCTTACGAGAATATACGTAAGAATTTAAAGGATATTCATCATTCTAATATAAAGATAGCAGTACAAAGGAGTATCTATTTGTTCCTAACACAATACAAAAAAAGTTTCAACCCAACACCTTTATATTTCTTTGTCTGTACCAATCTGTATGAATGATACAATGGTAGGTAAATAGCATATTGTATGAATTGAATGATCCTGCAAGCTTTTTTTTTTTTTTTGGAAGTAAAGGTATGTTTCAAAGATTATAGTTTACATTTTGGATAGTAAACTGGGAGGATTATTTCTTTTCTTTTTTAAAAAACAAGTTTTATTTCAGTTTTCCACATTTTAAAAACATCTCTTTTTAATGAACAGTGTGATTACAGGTTCATCTTTACATAAAAATATCACCATGATTACATATTCAATTTTTATCTTCAACTTCTTATCCTAACAATACTTTTATACATTTTCTACTTTATTGTATTATTCAAAATGTTTGCCTCTTTAATTCACTTATATTTCACATATCTTCATAATTGTTAAACTTTATTACTTTTAACTGTCATATTTGCATATTTCATCACATATTATTACATGCATTCATAAAATCTAATTTAATCAATCATTCTATAAAATTAGTTTTCCTCTTAAATTACCAATTTTAAGCGTGCCACCTTAAATTTTACATATTCACTAATTATCTCCCCTTTTAATCTCAATGGATATTTAACCTTTATTACCTAGAAAATTGAAATTAATAACCCTTTTAAAACTACATAAACTTTTTTACTTGGAATGACAGAACCGACATGGAGCAGAAAACACCAGCATCTGATATCACATATCATTACAGCAGCAAGGATAGTGTTTGCCCAAAACTGGAAATCAACAATGACACCCACAGACCTGGCAATAACTAATAAAATCCACCAATGTGCAGAAATGGTTAGACTAACCATGTTATTAAAAAATAAGGAAGGGGGGGAGTTTTTTACAACCTGGAATATATGGTACAAATGGTTGTATAAAAAGTAGGTTAAAATGTTTAGTGAAACTGTTTAAACAAAAAACAAGGGAAAATGAAAATAAGGATAAATATATAGCTATGTATATATGTAAAGTAATATAATTAATTAAATATTGTATTATAATTGTAATAATAACCAAAAAAAAGTAAGGATCTAGGAAGTAAGTAATACATTTACTTGTAACAAATGTCATTGACACTTAAAAAATGTGCACTGCTATGAAAACATTGCAAAAATCTGAGAACGTTTCTCATATTTTTAAAATATATATTTTTTGAAACTTTCAATAAACATATTTTATAAAAAACTACATAGCAAATATAAATCAGATTCTGCAAGTTTTTCCCCTTCTTAAATTCATATTTACAATTTCAATATTCATAACTTCTCACCTTGCAGAATCCCCTTTTAAAATATTAGTTAGCCATTGTCTTTATGCATTCTAAATAAACAATTCCTTTTCATTTTTAAAAAAATTCCCATATTTCCTTGTTTCCAAATCCTGCTTCTTCTCCCATCTTTTCCCTTTCATTTCCCCCTTTTTTCTGCCACTCCAGTTTTTATCCCCCTCCTTATTTATAGCTTCCTTCCACCCTTCAATTTTCTGCTGTTTCTGTTTACCTTTTTTAATTTTACAGATATTCCCTTTTTTATTTAACTTCTTATGTCTCATATTTTTATTTCCCATTCTTCTCCTCCTTCTTTTCAGAGTTCTTTGTTCCCAATGATAGTTAAAAATGGCCTCTTCTGTAGTCAGCTCCACCTCATCTTCCATCTTTTGTCTTTGCTGTTCATATTCTAAGATCTCGTTTTCCAAGAATTTTAAAGTATAAGCCAGTGGTTCACCTTGTTCTTGTAATGTTTCTTTCATGTTTCTGAGTTCCATTTTTAATTCCAGAGATATTACCATTTTACAAATTTTTGTCTAGTAATTTAATCCAAACAGTGTCTATGAAGTTAGTTTCCAACAGTCAGCTTTTGTTTTATTCCTCTCAAAGGGGAGTTGGTTCTTACCTGATATGCCCGTGAGCACCCAGTAGTGGGAGGTGCTCCAGTCTCTGCATTCATAGGCTGAGTTTGAATTGAGGAACACTCCTCCTCCTCCACGTGACTCCTCCATAGCGTTCCCCAGTTTTGCGAAGATGAGAAGAAAAAAACCTTGATCTCATCCTAACTACCTAATGGTTCACTGGCCGAAACAAGATCCCCCATTAGACGGTGAAATTTGGGTGGGGCTGGATGCTCTTCGCAGCTCAAAGAGAACGGGCGTATCAGGTAAGAACCAACGCCCCTTCTCCTCGGAGCTGCGAAGAGCATCCAGTAATGGGACATGCCAAAGCTTGGCCTGTCCTACGGGAGGGACTCCGTCTGGTCCAGAATCTCCTCAGGGTCTCTGAGGACCCATTGTAGGACTCGTCTACCAAAGGAGGCCTCTGCCGAGGCAAACACATCAATCTCGTAGTGTCTGATAAAAGGTGACGGGGATGCCCAGCAGATTTCAGTTATTGATGCCTGAGTGGCCCAAGCTGCTGAAGTAGCCGCACTTCTAGTGGAATGAGCTGTTATACCACTGGGCACTTGCAGGGCTTGTGACAGGTATGACCTAGTTATTGCTGCTCTGATCCAGCGGCCTATTGTGGACGGTGACACTTTGTGACCCAGCGTCTTGGGCTGAAAGGAAAGGAATAAGGCCTCCGATTTCCTAAAGGGCTGTGTGTGCTTGATGTAAATTTGCAGACCGCGTCTCAAATCAAGTTTGTGCCATTGTCTTTCCCTTTCCCGCGAAGGCCTGGGACAAAAGTTTGGAAGAATGAGTTCCTGCGCTCTGTGAAAGGCTGAATTGACTTTGGACAAAAAGGTGGGGTCGGGCTGGAGAACCACCCGATCAGCATGAAATACGCAGAGGTCCCTTCTAATGGGTAAGGCTGCGATTTCTGATATCCAATGGGCGGATGTAATGGCTACAAGGTACACTACCTTAAATGTCAAAAACTGGAGGGTTGACTCCCTTAAGGGTTCAAAGGGGTGTTTAGTGAGTGAAATAAGAACTTTGTTAAGGTCCCAGGGTACCGGTGTACAGTTGGAGGGTGTAAATTAGTGGCTCCTCTAAGGAAGGCCTGAATACGGGGGTGATGAGAAAGGGAACCAACGCCGTCGCAGGAAATTACAGTTGTTAACACTGCAACCTGTTGTTTCAATTTATTAGGGGATAGCCCTTTACTGAGTCCCTCCTGAAGGAAGTCCAAAATTTGAGCAACAGAAGGAGAGAGTGGGTTAATTTGGGATTTGTGACACCATTTACAGAAAATGGACCATGTGGCATTGTAGATTCAAATGGTTAAGGGCCGTCTGGCAGCTAAAATAGTGTCAATGACCTGGCTAGAGAAATTTTCTCTCTTCAAGCGGTCCCGCTCAACCTCCAGACGGCTAATTGGAGCCATTGAGGATCCGGATGCAGAAGGGGTCCCTGAGACAGTGAGATCCTGTCTGGTGGGATCCTCAGGGGGGGCACTGAGTGGTTGCGGAGGTCCGCAAACCATGGCTGTCTGGGCCAGTAAGGGGTCACCAGAAGCAGCTCCGCTTTCTCGTGTAGCAACTTCTGGATAACCCTGGGCACTAGAGTTAGTGGGGGGAATGCGTACAGGAGCCCTGTGGGCCAGGCGCAGCGTAACGAGTTGTGATTCTCCACCCCTTGGGATGGGTACCTTGAGAAGAATCTCGGGAGCTGAGCATTGAGTGGGGATGCAAAAAGGTCCACTACCGGTTGCCTGAAGATTGTTGCCGCCTCCCTGAACAGTGACGGGTGGAGGCGCCACTCTGACTGGTCTATGGTGGCCCTGCTTAACCAGTCTGCTTGGGTATTTGATACTCCCAAGATATGTTCCGCCCTGATGGAAAGGAGATTGCTCTCCGCCCAACGGCAGAGGCGCTTGGCCTCCCTCATTAATCATATTGATTGTGTGCCTCCCTGCCTGTTTATGTGTGCCTTGGCTGTCACATTGTCTGTTAGGATAAGAATGTGTCGTCCGCGTACCTGGGGGAGGAAGCTGCACAGGGCCAGGTGCACAGCGTGAAGTTCCAACCAGTTTATGCTGCATAATTGCTCTGTTGCCGGCCATCTGCCCTGGGATGTGAGTGATTGAACGTGAGCGCCCCATCCAAATAGACTGGCATCTGTGGTAAGAGTGAGCCTTTGGGGCTCCTTGAAGTAATGGCCTTTGTTGATAGCCAGTTTGGCCCACCAGAGGAGGGACGTGAGGACCTTTGGAGGTACCCTGACCATGTGTTTTGAGTTGCTTCTGCCAGATCTTTGGTACGGAAGCAGGAACCACTGCAGGAATCTGGTGTGTAAAACGGGCCCAGGGAACAATAGAAACGCATGA